CCATAACGAGTTATTCTTCTATAATCTCCTGGCTTTCACTATTCAAGGCTTTTTGACGTGCATACTCTAGAGTTCAATTCCTAACCATAATAACGATTATTTTCAACGATGCATGCTTTTCGAAGTTCTTAGACACATCAAAGGTTTTGAAAGAAATAGTTATAGGGGAAATCAGCACTTACTCCTCACACTTTGTGGATTTTTCAACTTCAACTCTCACCTTCAAAACTACACCTTTTCATTTTCATGGACTTCATCATTGTCTCCACAGTTCTTATAGATTTGGAGTAAGTCCGATTTTACTCAAACTCTATTAGGTGGGGGTCCTACTCTTTCTTGGCTAATTAGTGAAGGTGACCAGAGCCGTGGCTCTATAGCTGTATCTAACCTATGTTTTTGCTTGAAATTGGGAAGTAATGTAAAACTATGAATTTCCTTTGGTTCCTCTCAGTTTCGCTTCAATGCGGATTTCTATTCAAACAAATTTGTATCTGTTTCAAATTCTAAAAGTTAATTTAATACTATGTATCTTTTTAAAAGAGTACTATGAACATTAAACATCGTATTTCTTTTTGAAGATTTAAAAGCAATATAAAAATACTACGAATTTTCTTAGAAGTGTATTAAAAACATTAAAACATCCATTTGTAACCTTATGCCATGTTTGGGGTTTAGTTTGCAATGTGATCAAGTTTTTCTAACGACGAGACGCGTTGGATTTCATCATTATCGGAGCGGATCTAAATGTCTGACACCCTTCCGCCTGGGTATTTAATGCACGCTCCCCCTGCTCTGCTTACTAGAGGTTAATATTACCCCAGCTACACTACGTCTGGCGGGAATGCTCGATCCGCCAGATATTACATTACTGCCATCCTTTATGTTATGAATTGAGGCACTTTCTCATGGCTGTGGCCCTAGTAACAATACAGGAACACAGACCGCACGAACTATCTCGCATACAGAAGGCAGAAGGAGTGGTAGTAAACTCAGCCGTTTCGTCACTATGGGTCACGAGAAGTATCCCAAGTGTTTCAACCATGCCGACGTGTGTTAGATGGCTCCTAGCAAACCTCGTACTCATACTACTTCTAGCGGAGAGGTCAATTCCCTCTCCCGTTCATTCACGTATGTGTGATATTGGCCAAA